CAATCAACGTCCACGCTTATTTATTAAATTCTGGTCGTTGATCTTCAACATGCACATGCCTTGCGCTTTTTATATTAGGATAATATATATTTGCATAGAGGTTTGGTCGTGATTGATTACGTATTAATACGAAATGTTTAGCGATTTGTTAATAATTAATAGACAGGCCAAGTGGAAACGGAAATTTACGGTCGGACTAAAATAGTTCAAGGTTAATTCGGAACTATGTCACGACCGAGTTTCATCGTGAACTCCCGATTCAATATCGTGTGCAATTACGCGGCTGGATCCGCGTCAAAGGAATTCATAGAGCCATAACAATGAATTGAACTGGGAACAGAAAGGAAAACAGAGGTTTCAGATATTTGAAGACAAAGCGAAGTTGAAGCGCGGAAATGAAAGAAGAATTTTCATTTCGAGTAAAATGAAAATGATCTAATACGCTATCTTGTGTATAATCATTGCTACGTATATAAGAGATCATAAGAATGAAGAGAATTTTTGTGAAATAATATATATATATATATTTTTTGAGTATTTAATTTATTGCATCTTTAAACTAAAAAAATATCAACGCAATGGAATTTTTTTTTAATGAAAATATATAATTTCGTTTTCGTTATATATTTTTGCTCTTATCTAAGTAAGATCGATTAAAAATTTTTCTTTCTTCGTGTCTTAATTTCTATGGAACGAATGAAGATAAAGTGAAAAATCTTTCGTTATTTTCAATCGATAATCGTCTCGGAATATTTTTGGTTAGAAGAAGACAGACAACAAACACATAGCATATTAATTTTTCATCCACGTTAATTTTTATTTTCAAACAATTATTATTGATTTTTTTTTTCCTCTCAATAAATCAAAATATTCTCGTGTCCCACCATTTTTTCTATTAAACAGGAGAAAATACGGATGAACAGTCGAAAATAATGATCGATCCCCACGATAGTAACGTAAAACAACATCGATTTATTCAACACAAATACGTTACGATAGAGATTCGGTAATAATGATAATAATAATAATAATGATAATAATATTCATATATGTATATATACAGGAAATAAGGCACGTTCGATATTACATTAATTAACGTGCGACCAATAACGTCGCTCGGCTGTCCAATATTACATCTTTTTTATATTATTTTTCTTCTTTTTTATCGTCATTGCGTCTTCTCGTTCGTACGATATGCAACATCCTTACCAAATGTAGAAAATGTCATATATATAATATATTTATAATATATATATATGTATATCTATATCTGTATAAACGTTCTCGTTGAATTTCCATTCGTCCTTTCATCGGCATTGTTCAAGATAAACTTTTACACCATCTTAAATCTATATTTATAATCATATTTATATATATTTATACGTATTCCCTTCTTTCTTAATTATTTCACGACGAAGTAACGACATTATTTATCGTCGCTAACGGCTTTCCCATATCTCTCTCTCTCTCTCTCTTTTTATCTCCATTTGCAGGAAATATTTCAACGGGTGTCGTCTTACAGCCGATCTTCCTAACCCGTAATAAAAGGCGCGAAATTTAAAATGTTCGGAAATCGCTATCTTCGATCGCGTTCGATTAAACGCTCGTTGTTGAAATTTCTCTGATCGAATTATTTCATACGATTCACAACATTCACGTCATTAAATGCACACTCTGGTTTTACGATCTTAATTATAATAGTTAATCATTCGTGAATATGATCTGAGTATGGAATCGAATCGATGATTGTTCTCTCTATCTTGTCTGGATGAATTTTTGAAGAAAATATGAAACTTTTTTTTTTTCAACAATTTGAGAATATGTTGGAATGACGTGAAGGTCAATACGAATGACTCGTAAAGGAATTGGTGACGATCGAAATAAATCGGAATATTGTACAATATTTCTCGCGATATTCACGATTTCGTTGGCACGCACAGACACCTGCAGATTGCGTTTTATTTTTTTTTTTTAAATAGAATCTTGATTTTTAACCCTTTGATGTCTTTTACTTAAAAGCTATTTTTACAACATTATTAGTATTTCGTTAGAATTGATTGGAATGAATTGTTTATCCATTATGTTTTATAAAAAACGATATATTGATTTATGTTTTTAATATTTTTGATAAATTTTTTTTCTTAATAAATTTAAATTTCTTAATAAATCGATTTAATTAATTTTTTCGGTTTTTTGATCAAATTCTCCTCTCGAAATATCTCAATCTGAAAATCCCCGGACAGCAAAGGGTTATAAAAATTCTTTTACTCGTGATTCAAGAGGATTCTCACATTCTGCAACTGATTTACTCTCGCACATGCACTCGGCAAACTTACTTTAGGCGGTTTAAACTGGCATCAAGATACTTTACACGAATGTACAAAAATCTTCCTACACCGTAATCGGAATGTGTATCATTACTCGTTCGTTTTCTTTTCTTTTCTTTTTTTTTTTTATTCTCTTTCTATGCATTACCTACGTGCTAAATTATTTAGAAAAAATGGTTTCGCCAGAATTTGGAATCGTTGGCGAACAATTTTTTTTTTTTGCGTCCATACTGGAATGTAAGGTGCTATCGTAATCGCTGATACGATAAAGAAACGAAGATGTGTCGACGAATCG